GAGAGAGAGAGAGAGAGAGAGAGAGAGAGAGAGAGAGAGAGAGAGAGAGAGAGAGAGATGGGTTTGCAAAATAGCCTATGTCTAGAAAACCCTTGTATAAAGTTACGGTTGCTTGTTTTCTATCATGTAACATTGTTTATTTGTGCTGTCCTTGATCAAATAAAATGAATGAATGATTTATAACTTTTTTCCTAATTATATCAATATTTTTGTTATGAAAATATGTCTGCAGACAGAGTTAGGACTGAATAAACCATTTTTTTTAGAACAAATAAAACACAACTTGAAGTGTAATAAAAGTCAGGTACCATTATTGCATAGTACAGACTGCTATCCTGGTCTGAAACAAGTTTAGTGATAACCTTTAAATTTGAACCTTTAAATCTGAAGTGTAAATTCAGACCAATTCGGATTAATTTTTTTATTTTTTATTTTATTTTAGTAAGGTCATGCCTGTGACACAGTCAGAAACCTCGGTTTTATCACACCCCATTTTAGTACCTTACATAGAGTACAAATTTGAAATCACTTGTTCTGTAAAGAAATATTTTGTAGTTGGAAAACAAATTAGTATATTGATGGGTCATGTATGATTACAGTTGCAATCTGTGGTTGTGCACAAAGAAGCAATACAGCAAAAATGTGCAACAAATACAACATATATGTAAATAAGTTTTAGCAGCTTTATGGAGACAGATTATGATGTTAAAATCTTCTCGGCCTAAATCAACAAAGCTATGTTTAATTTAGTTCATAAAGTTTATTCATTTCATTTTAAAAAACATCTTACATTCTACATACAATAAAAATACAAATTACAAATAAAACTAGACATGGGTTTTTACGATGTAAAAACAAGTGTGCATTGCCTTGTAGCATGTCATTGCAGCACGGCTTTGCCTGGAGCAGTGGACTTGCAGAATGAAATGTGACCAAGTACAAATGTGTTTTCTATACCAACCTGTGCTTGTCAAGTCAGCAGGTGTTTGTAATAAGGGTAATTGTGTGAAAATATGAAGTTTGTAGAGATTTTCTATTAAAGTTGCTGTTGCTGGGTTTCGAACCTTTGATCTCCCACATGAAAGCCCATGGCACTAACCATGAGACCATAAGATCGAGGCCAGGGTTTGGTTTGTATGTATGCAGAAAGTGGCCATATTGCCAATGTAATGGTTGTCACTAATTTGAAAAATATTACAACAATAAAGCAATATTAGGATAATATTATAGTAAAACATCAAAATACAATCATATTAGTATTGTAAACCCTGAAGTATTGAAATTAAATATTATTAAACTATGGTGCAGTACTGAGTAGATACAGCAGGGGGCAGTATTGGACTAATACAAGGCTCCATTGACTCCCACTATAAATTATTAAACATTAATATTTCAAAAACTATAGGTTGTACAGGCACCAAAAGACATAGCCATCATTTGGCACAGGAGCTTTACAAATATATATTACAATGGCAGCTCTAGGACAAAGTATGCAGGAGGAGAAGCGTGCCAAAGTGGAGATGACTTGGATGAGAAACGAATCACAATAGTGTGCATTGCATTGGCAATGCACACTGANGTGCAGTACTGAGTAGATACAGCAGGGGGCAGTATTGGACTAATACAAGGCTCCATTGACTCCCATTATAAATTATTAAACATTAATATTCCAAAAACTATAAGTTGTACAGGCACCAAAAGACATAGCCATCATTTGGCACAGGAGCTTTACAAATATAAATTACAATGGCAGCCCTAGGACAAAGTGTGCAGGAGGAGAAGCGTGCCAAAGTGGAGATGACTTGGATGAGAAACGAATCACAATAGTGTGCATTGCATTGGCAATGCACACTGATGAAAGGCAGCAGAAAGAAGGAAAAAAACTGGTATCGGCCCCTTTTTCCAAATATAATTAATTCAAACAATAATAATCTTCAAACAAGAAAAACAAAGACATTAACTCCTTTTGGAGCAACAATTCGTACAGATACACATTATACGGTTTAATGTTTTTTCAACAAACTAACTTTTATCATTCTCGAATCTGCAATGTTTCCATTTTATAGTCAATTGTTCATTAATGTAAACATTTGTTCCCTTCAGTTTTATTGCTTGTATAATTAAAATATTTCTTGATTTTCTGCTAATGAACCTGATAACTATAGATGGTTTGAACTGATCTGATTTAGCAGATATGTTGTCTTTTATCTCACATTCAGCTGAGTGTGAATACTCCAGTGTGTAATTATGAAGAATGCTGCATTTAAGTTGTGCTTGAAAAAAAAAGCACTATGCTGTCCACTATCTCCTATATAGTCTACTATATTTGACTATAATATAGTGAGTCGGTATATAAGTGAACATTTTGAACACAGCTTAACTGTACAAATCTCTCTGTGTGGTCGAATAACTGTGGCAGCCAGTCTGTCTATTTGTTACATTAAATTTCACGACAAGTGTCACATTTAAAATCCAATCAGGTGTCCAATGCTTTGTTTTACAAATTTCCCCTGTTCCCAAAAAGGTTCAGAAAAAGGCACCTTTTAATCTGCACTTCTTGGACAAAGAAAAACATCACATATTCTAATATTTTGTTGGATCACTTTTAGCTTTGATTGTGACGTGTATTTTCAGTCGGCATTGTTTTTGCGAGTTTCCGCAATGTCCCAATTATTTCTGTCCAGAGTTGCTTTCATTTTCAAACCATTTTTAAGAGCTTCAACCTTTTCCCTAGATGCTTCTCTGCTTGATAGGTACCAATAATTTGATCTTTCTGATACAGATTCTTTCTACAACCACAAGATGTGCCTTTTAAAATGGTTGTTAAACAGATGAGAAGCTACAAAATGTTCACTCATTCACTCAGTTAGGGTTAAATAACTTAGCTGAAATAAAATCACCCATGCAGTAATTATCAAATGGAAGAATCTATTTGTTTAGTTACATCCAGGTGGTGACCTTTGTTTTAGCCAGGCAGTGTATTTTGATTGTCTATTTAATTTTAGGCTCATGCTCGTTTTTAAGTCAGGTTTACTGCATAGACACTTTAATGGTTGATATTGTACAGATTGGGTGGGATACGTTGGCTTTTTGTTAATGTTTTGTTACCCTGTGACCCTTTAAGAGATCCACAGTATGACCTTCTAATCTGACTTCGAGATGATTTACAGATGGACAATTCATCTCTGACGCTCCTCAGTCTGGTCACCATAGTGACCTGTGACGTCATGGAAATTTCTTATACTGTTCAGCGTCTTTATGTGACGCTGTCTTTGTAATCCGTGTGCCATCGTTGGTTTATTTTTATTTTTGGTGATGCAGGTGGGTTTAAAACACACGCACTGACTGGGCCTTTGCATGTGTGTGTTTGTGTGTGTTCAGGTGTGTATCGAGACCTACGTGTCCAGCTGTCACCAGCGCAGCATCAACACGGCAGTAAGAGCCACCCTGAGCCAGATCCTGGGAGACCTGACGTTACAGCTGCGGCAGCGACAGGAGGTCAGACATGACGCGCACAAACAGTCTAATACTACTATCTTTATGGGGACTTTGCATTAGCTTCGATTATTTTCTACATCCTAACCTTGACCCCTTACACTAAACCTAACCTCACAGGTACCTACCTGACCCTAGCCTGGCCCTTGCCTTCCTACGCAGCTCCGCTCAATTCTAGTTTCCCTTCACTGCTCCATCT